GGAGGGCCCATTGCACGCGCAGCTTAAACTGCGCGTTGCCGAGGCGGCGCTCCACAAACGTCGAGGGCTTCCCTAGCGTCCGCGCGACCTGCCGGATGGTGGCCCCGCCACGCAACATGTGATAAATCCGTAGATCCTCGCCAAAGGTGAAAAATTTGCTGTGGCTAAAAGGGTGATTTGCGGGGTTTTGCATCTCCTGCTCCGTTATCGTGCTGGAGCTGCTCATGAAGGCCTGCCAGTCGAGGGCGCCTCGCATCGCCCACGGCGCGGCGTCGTCGCCGCTCGCGAAGTCGTCCGGGAGGCGTCGACGACGGCTGCCCGCCTTCCGCTGAAAGGCATCCGCCGTCGTCTCCGCCGAGGTTGATGGTTTCGAAGGCGAAGACGAGGTGGAAGGGGGTTCCCCCCCTGGCTGGAGGAGCCCACTGGATTGAATCAACTCGTACGCGGTGTTAATCACCTTCATGCGGTGGTCGTCGCCGCTGCTCAGATCGGGGTGATGCAGCCGGGCGAGCTCGCGGTATTGCTTTCGAACCGCCTCCAAGATCGCCGGGCGGAGGTGCGCAGGGGGGTTTGGGGTGTAACTCACGCCAAGCACACGAAACGCCGCCGCGACGTCTTGTGGACTGGGCGGATGCACCAAGAAACGTCGGCAGCGATTGAACATACCGGCTAAAGAGGCCTCAATGCTTTCTCGCTCCGCTTTTCTGCCTTCGTGTACGCTGTGAAAGGCGCCTAAAATGGACAACCAAATGAATACAGTAGCCTATATATGAATGATTATCCAATGGCGACGTATACCATGAGGGGATAAGAAGCAAATAAAAATGAGAAAAGGAAATGTTCAAGCATTTTTGTTTGTAGTCAATGAGTATAATTAGCTCAAGAAACCCTTATATGCAGCATATAGCTCACAGGATGGATGTGTTTTTGGATTATTATCATCATGGTCGCTTTAGTATTTTTTTACTGTAGGTGAAGATAGTCTGGGGAGATAGAGACAAAGCGATGCCTAAACAAATTTAGTACAATAATGGATTACAGAAAGAAAGATGTATAGGTAAAAAAAAGATTCATGTACTGCTCAAAGGGTGAAGCGCGTGGAACAAAGCATAACTAGCAGACTCAAAAAAAAAAAACGTAAAACAACAAGAATACACGAGGACAATTAAATTAGGAGAGTAAAATGGAAGGCTCAGAGATTTTTTCTAATTCAGAGCTATCCCCAAAAAAGAAAGTTTTTGGACTTCTCTTCTTGCAGGGGCAAAACACGTAATGCATTTTTGTTTTCTCTGTTATGTCACGATATTTTTCCAGTTAAAATATTCTTGATATCTTAAATTTGAAACAAAATCAATCAATGATATAAATATACACCCTGAATAGAAGCTGTTTATTACATCAAAAACAAACATGGGCTGCATAAAATTCAAGGCATTATTGCCACACTCACTCAACTTTTTCTAACTGCCTGCTCGTGTAGGTCAACTTTCATCCCATTGTCATTATAATTCTTTAATATAAGCATTAAATTAAGAATTTGAAACAGAAAAACACTTTTCTGTCCTCACAATTCACTTAAACATACACTACATATACCCACAAATATGATTATTCCTGAATATCAGTTTCCCTGTTTCCTTTTATTTTTTAGGAATTATTTTCAACCCTCCTACCCTTCATATTTGCGTTGAAGTGGAGAGTGTTAGGGAGAAAGGGCATACGACATCATGTGTCTTACACTAACTTTCATAGGATTAATGAACGCACCTTAATTAACTCCATTTCAGAGTTTTCCTATGTAAATTACAGAGAACGATTTTCACCTTTCAACTCAACTTTACCTTTTTTTGCAACTCGATTTTTCTAATCTTCAGAAATATTATTTAAAAATAACTAAAGTGGTTCATAATAGTGTTTGAAAACACTCAAACCACGCTCTTTGCTCTAGTCTTACATCATAGTTTAAAAAAATGTTATTGATATTATTGTTTTTGTTTTTGTTTTCACATGCAAAAGCATATTAAAGAAAGCCAGGCGATGAAACTCATGTTTGAAGAATCTGTAGAGTGAAGAGACATACGGCACCAGAGCTGGAATAACAACAGAACATCTTCCCCTTTGACATTATTCAATACATGGTTGCAAAAAAGAAAATCGTATCCTAAACTGGGATTTGGCACTTTTTCACAATTTTCTTGCCATAGCATAGAGGAAGCTTACCTTTGCACTTACCACAAGTTAAGCTTCACGAAAACAAAGGAGGAAAAACAAGATTACAAATTAATTCTTATATACATAACTGAAATAAAAGTATTTAGATTAAAGCAAAGCAAGATAAAAGTATTTGCCTCCAAGCAAAAACGTATCTAAAAACAAAATACTTTCATACAAAAATCAGTACCAACCGGTTGCACCACATTTCGAATTTAAGAAAGCTGTAATTGCTCTACGTGCGTATCTAATCTCAATGACCCTTTATTCCGTATTCCTTGCACAAGCATTTTTTTGTTTTAAACATACTCTTACATTACATGATTTTCTACCGAGAATCCTTCTTCAACAACATTGTAACATCTCTTTTTGTTATACATCTAATTTCCCCCCTCTTCACTTTTGTATTAAAGCGCACCACCATTTTTTTTTGCTTTTCCACACTAAGTTAGCCAAACGGCTGCCGATACACATAGAAGTATTGAGAGTAGTAAACGGGGAAATGATTAAAATAGTGATAATAATAGCAAGCAACACGAGGAAAAACGTGGTAGAAAAGTGGCAATTAATTATCATCAACAAGCCACTTAAAAATTTGTGATGGAATGTGTGGGTCGGAAAATATAAACGCGTATCGGTTAAATTAATTAATACATTTGGTAAATCAATTAATAAAGTAATGGAAACCCCTGGGTAAAATCCCATTCAACAAAAAGTCCAATGATATTAAGTAAAAAGTGGGAGAAAGTGCATATTTCTCTAAATCATGCACCTAAAGTTACATGTTAATCGTCATATATACATATCAGCTTCTGATTTCCTTATCCCAGTTAATTTGGATAATCGTTTTTAAACACTTCATTCATGATTTTGCTTTAGATTTCTTTTTTCATAGCGTGTCGTGGGAGAATATAATGATGATTCATACCACCCACTTAAAAAAAACGAGAAGAGAAAGGGAAAAAAGAAAGGAGTTTGGAAATTTTTAAAAAATTACTAAAATGTACTGTGTGCATGGTAATGGTACAAACAAATTTCTGACAGTATTGTCTATCCATGTCAGTCTAAATACCTGCAACACATAAAAAATTAAAAATTAAAAAATGTCACGCGTACGCGTGAATGAGTAATTATCGAATACAAAAACATCATTTACGAAAAGGGAGCAATGGAGGGCTTCAACAAAATTTAAATCGAATTCCTTTTCCTCGTATATTTCGGTCACAGATTCTAGATTAAAAAGAAACCTTTCAATGATAAAGTCAACACTTAAGCGACAATATATTACATCTTATCGAGCACATGTTTTTTTCGTTATCTTCCTTTAGAAGCCTTCAGACGTTTTATACTCCTCCATTGCTTTTAAATATTCCTCCGCAATTCATACCAAATCGATATGAATGCTTGATATTTGAGGAGGGGAAAGGGGGGTAAGGGAAAGAAAGAAAAAGGAAAAATGAACAAACTAAACCAAAAAAATAAAAGAGAGGGATGGGTGAGTTAAACGAAACGAATCTCTCGCCCCCCTCTCCCTTCCTCCATTCTCTTGCCTTACATCACGTCGGCGTGGCCAGCCGGATAGGTAAAGACGACCTCCGCGAACTCCTGCCTCGCGAGCTCATCCGCGACCTCATCCACCTTCGAGACGTCGCCGAAGACGTGAACGAGGAAGGTGATCACGTTCAGCCCCATCAGCCACTCCGCGTCGAGGAAGGTCACCGGCGCCTGCATCTCCTCCGCGATCCGGCAGGCGTTCTCCAGCGAGCGAAGATCAAACTGCCGCATCTCGAGCTTCGCGGCCTTGTCGTGATCCCGGGCGTGGCGAATCAGCCGCGGGAGGGATTCCATCTCCTCATCGGTGAGGTAATTCGGATCGTCGTTGCCCTCGGTGTAGAAGGTCGGGGGCTTCACCGTCGTGATCGCGCTGACGATACCCATGTGCATGTTGTGATTGAGCGGGTACTCGGCCACGACCATATCCCCTGGTTGGATCCGAAACGGCGCGATAAACCACGCCGATCCGAACCGGAAGTTCACCGAGGCGTAGCGGAAGATGGCGGGGCGGGGGAATTTAAAAACAAAGCCGTCCACCGCGTCGGCGAGCCGCGCCGGGCGCGCGCCCGCGGGCATCGCAGACTGCTGGTG